GACACGTTCCCCTACCTGAAATGTGGACTGTCTGCGATGTTGATTCTCAGAAGCAATCATGGCTTGCTGAGCTTTCTTCATATGTTCAACAACCTCTCGCAGCAACTTCTCATATTGCACACCGTATTCAAGTGTGCCTGGAGTTGCAGCAGGTCGGTTTTCAGGTAGGAGGAARTCTAGTGCTGATCTAGGCTTCCATCCCAAGTGCAACTGGTTAGGACTAACGCCGGTACTACTATGAATAGCATTGTTGTACAAGCTGGCGATGAGAGGCAACTGCTCATCCCAATCATCTTGGCTGGGCTTGATGTAATGCCGCAGCAAGTGTTGTACCACTCTGTTCATTTGTTTGGCTTGTCCGTTGGCTTCGGGATGATTCCCTGAAGTCATTTGAAGTTGACTGCCCATCTATTCTGCGGTCTTCTTCCACAGTTCACTTGTGAAGTTGACGTCTCGGTCACTAATGATGGTCTTTGGTAAACCAAAGTCCCTTACCCGGTTGTCCTTGAACAACTTGATGACATACTCCGCCCTGGCTGTCTCCGGCATTGGTATTAGTCTAGCGTACTTGGTGAATCTATCAATGATGACGAAAATGTGCCTCTTACCACTCTTGCTGGTCACTAGGGTGTCCATGAAATCCATGGAAACACTCAATCCTGGACCATCAGGAATGGGTAAAGGCTTCAATAACCCAAGCGGTGCTTGAGTTCGCGGCTTGTCCCGATGACAAGCCTGACAGGTCTCAACATACTTCTTTGCGTCATCTAGCATTCTGGGCCACCAAAATCGTTGTACTAAGTTAACACTCGTCTTCTTGTAGCCAAAGTGCCCAGTTGCGTCATGACATTCGCCTAAAAATAAACTACGCAACTGTTCACTAGATGGAACTACCAATCTCTTTACTCCGGCCTTATCAAGATAGATTAGCCCATCCACCATCACAAACTCACTTTCTGTGGCCTTGTCTTTTGCCTAAAGTTTGCGGATGATGTCCATCGTGACAAGATCTTCCTGATAGGCCCCCACCAATGATTGAGTTACTTCGTTAGATACGCCAAATACGGAAACTAACGCACCTAGGTAGTCTGCTCTACGGGATAGCGCGTCTGCAACCTTGTTGTACTCTCCCTTCAGGTACTCAAGTTTGAAGTCATATTGGTCTATGACCTCAATCCATCGCTTGAGTGCATCAGAAAGAGCCGGTTGAGTCTTGATCCATTTGAGGGTCTGATGATCAGTCCTCGGATAGAAGAATCTTCCCAAAAGGAAGTGTCTCCAATGGACAAGTGCCTTGCAGAGAGCGTAGAGTTCCCTTTCGTAGATGGACTTAGCCAATTTCTTCGATGGCATCTTCTTACTCATATACTCAATCGGTCTCAACTTTTTCCCATCCTGCTGAGCCAGCACTGCGCCAATGCCGTATTGGCTTGCGTCAGTGGTCACTATGAATGGCTTCTGCGGATCGGGAACCATGAGAACTTCGTGATTCATGAGTGCATGCTTCAATCTCTTGAAAGCACCCGCGCACTCATCACTCCAGTCCCACGGCGTGTCAAGTCGAGTTAGATCTGTCAAAGGAGAGGCGACTGTAGAATAGTTCTTTACGAAGTTCCTATAGTAGCCGCACATTCCTAAGAAAGATCTGACCTCAGTAACTGTCTGAGGTCGTGGCCAGTCTCGAATACTAGCCACTTTCGCATCTTCCGGCCTAATTCCCTCCGCGGATACTTCATGACCCAAGTATAGAATCTTAGTGCGACCGAATTCACACTTCTTTAAGTTGACCTTGTACTTGTGTTGTCGTAGGAGTGAGAGAACTGTCTCAACATGTTGTGCGTGCTCCTCGACAGACTTACTAAAGATCAGAATGCCGTCTAGATAGACTACGACAAACTTATCTAAATGGTCATGGAAGATCCGATTCATAGCGTGCTGGAATGTGCCCGGCGCATTGCAAAGACCGAAATGCATCACTACAAACTCATACAGACCATATTTAGTCTGAAAAGTTGTCTTGTGTTGGTCCTCGGGTCTTATTGCGATCTGATGATATCCGGATTTCAAGTCTATCTTCGTATAGTACTTGCATCCTTGCACTCTATCCAATAGGTCGTCTATGCGGGGTAGAGGCTCTGCGTTTTTCACCGTGATGGCATTGAGGCCCGTATAATCAATGCACATCCTCAAAGTACCCCGCTTCTTTGGTACGAATAGCACAGGTGATCCGTAAGGGGAAGTACTAGGCCGAATCCATCCCTTCTCTGTCAGCTCCTTGAGTTGCTTCCGAAGTTCATCTAACTCGGCAGGGGCCATCCTATAGATCCTTCCCTTTGGGGTCTTACTCCGTGGAATGATTTCTATAGCGTGGACGACTTCCCTATCAACAACTCCTGTGGGCTCCTCGAACAGATCAGGGAACTTAGCAACGACGCGTTCTATCT